ATTCTGAAGTGTGAACCTTTGGCTCAAATTGATTTCTTTTTTATATACATTCCTCAAAAAGCAACAATCAAAGATAATATCATATACCAGCAGGTTACAGTGGTGAAGGTGAAATCATGAGCTGAGGTGACAGTGGCTGTGACAGCAGGTGGAGAAAATGAATCAATGGCTGGAATTGATCTTGTTAACTTGAGGCAGTGGTGCGAGACCAATTGCATCACAGAGCCCAAAGCTAGGTCAGGCAGGAAGTAAGGGAGAGGGAAGAAGATCGAGGAAGGTCTGTGGATTATGATGATGAATGAGGTGAGGTGACTTCATTGAATGTATTGTGAAATAAAAGTCTCAAGAAGCATATCATTGCCAAAGAAAGGAATCCCAGAAATGCGAAAGACCAAGCAAAATAACTCTGCTGAATAAGTGTTTGCTTCCCCAAACTGGGAGCAGGAGGGGTAAGCCCTATTTATAGATGCTGAGTCGATATCCTGTTTGTCTTGGCAGAGATCAGAGAGGCGTTTAAGGTGCTGGATCGTGATGGAAACGGGTTCATTTCCAAACAGGAGCTGGGCATGGCCATGCGGTCTCTGGGTTACATGCCCAGTGAGGTGGAGCTGGCCATTATCATGCAGAGACTAGACATGGATGGTGAGTCACATGTACACACACACACACACATGTAAAAATGCTCTGTGCAGTGCAGAATGGGATCCTCCCTCATGTGTTGCATAATAAAAATGTACACACCGTCAGTTTTTATTGTCTTATCAACAGGTAACTTCACAAATATCTACGGTAAACTGCAATATTTCTCTGTTCACTCTTTAGGCTTCAGATGCACTGATTACATCTCCCACCGGCTCATGCATAAAACATGTATTCATGCCTGCACGACTTTGTACTATTCTTGTTTTCAGCTACTTGCTTTATCCTCTTGACACATTGAATTATCAAAGTGAAATTGATGCCCAAGGAGAGCAAAGTAAATGAAGGAATTTGGAGATTAATCAAAAGTATGTATGCATGAGATGGGGATAGTTTTTCTAGGTTGGGTGGGTTTTCACAATGGTTGCCCAGCAAGCACAGTTTGTATAATGTCACTGTAGTTCCTTCATAACTTGACAGTGTGGTGTGTGAAAATACATTTTAAAAAATGCATTATAACAACAACATGTATAAGATTCTTGCAACATAAAGAAATTAGCTGAGCTTTCTCCAAAAGTTGATTCTGTTCATCTGGACGTAGCGTTTTATGTATAGCATTCACAGAGAGTTGGGGAATGGTACTTATGGCCATTGATCAGTGGGTTTTGGTCAGTGGTTGTTGATCAATGGTCATGAGAATTTGCATAATTATGATTAAGGAACTGACCTCACAGCCCATTGTTCCTTCAGTGGGCTGGTTTCAGTCATTATGCAAATGTACTGTTTATAAGATTGAAACCTGCAGTCAGCTGAGACTGAAGAAGTCACTTGGATGAGTGACGAAACGTTTCTCCCAGAAAACGCTACGTCCAGATGAACAGAATCAACTTTTGGAGATTTATTTTCCTGGATGATTGAGAATGCATCAAGACGTTAGCTGAGTTTTATTTCTGCAGCACTGTCCTCACCTGAGACATTTGAACTTTTTGTCCTCAGAGAGAACACTCGCAGCACCAAGAAAATACAAACTTAAGCTTTCTCTTCTTTTGCACAGAGCATTTCTGCCAATACGGTCGTCTGCGTTAACTGTGACTGACATTTAATAAAGGGTAGACTCTTAAAATTATATAAGACTGAGATGGGAAAATGCAATATGCAAATGTCAGATTGCTGAAAAAAATATTCACATTTTTCATGTTTCTATCAGAGGCTTTGATAAGTGCTTTTCAGTCTCAGAAAGAGTGGAATACTATAAATGTTCAAGGCTGAATATTAAAGTTTAAGAAGTTAGACTTTATGCTTCTGACTCATCCACCTCAGAATCCCAGGAGACCCTGACTGCTGCTGTGCCTCAGAGCCGGATCTTGTTGCATCGTCTGCCGCAACCAGAAGTTGAGGTTACTTTTGTCACAGTAGCTTTTGTCACCAACATCCAGAGCTGTTTGTTTATTTATTCCCTTTCTTGTCATTTATCTTAGTGTATTGAATCTGAGTTTGCTGTGGTTTCAAAAACCTCTTTTAATCAACTAGGTCAATTTGTTTGTATTGATAAACGTCTTTAGCAAAATACTGGGGATTTTCTTTGTTTGGGCAGTATTGAATGCTGGAGCTGGCTGAATACAGAGTCAGGATACAGTCTAATTTTGAAAACGAACATAGAATAAGGTAACTCGGATCAAAAAAGAGATGGCACTAATGCAGGAGACCAGTAGGAGGTAGATTGTGTTTCCAAATAGGCTTAAAACATGGAACTGTGGAGTACTGGGAGCTTAACTGGAAATGTTATGGGTATTGTCATCTGCCAACACACACATCAAATCCTGCATGAGCCAAATGACCTCAAAGAAACACACAGTGCACAAACAAATATAAGAAAAAAATTCAGCACATGTTGTTTGAAAGAAATGATTTTGCAATTCAGCAATTCTCTTCTCGTGTGTATGTCCAGCAATGTATTGATGAAGAGCGTCAAGGGGACGCTGAATGAGGGAGAGTAAGGGTATTAGCAGATGAGTGGGAATGGATGATGGTGATTGTATCCTGGCCAGGTGGGCAGCTGTGAGGCTCTTTCACTGCCATTGATTCTTTGCCCAGCTGCCAACTCCAGCTGATCTCCAGAAGATACTGATCGGTTATTTTTTCTGCTTCTCTCTTCTGCCAAGCCAATCCATGTGATAGTTGCTGAGCTCTGTTTGCCCTTCGTGCAGAGGTGTGACTCCTCTTCTTTGTTCCTAATCACAGCATTGCACCAGTCTTTGTTGTTCACTCGGATTACACTTGTTCTTTGTTGTACTGATAATGGGCTTGATGTCTTTAATCTGTAAATTCTGAATACCAACATTTGCTTTTATTCCCTCCTGTCATTTGCCTGATTTGTTATCTTTACAGTGAGCAGGATTCTGCATATTTCTTTAATAATTCATTGTTCTGCTTCCAGCTGAAATGAAATGCTTGGTTGTGACATAACACAGGAAGAAACTGTTCAAAAGCAGGTGGCTTGGGCTATGACAGACACAGAAAGTGACTCAGTGACTTTGTGCATAATGTTCAGCTGTCAGAAACTGCGGATACATCAGAATGGGAGCTGAGATGCAACTGTGGTGTTTTAGGGAAGAGTGAATTACCCTGTACTGTGGTTTGTTTGTTTTTTTTTTAGGCTTTGTGCATGTTTGGTTCAGCATCGAGGAATAATTTAAACAGCAGTAATTATCAAATTGGACAACCAACATGGCTTGTTGTCATTCAGTTTGCACACAAGTTTTTATCTGGTTTATCTTCTGTAATGGAAGTAAAAAGTTTGGGTGCTTCTAAAACAACTGAACTAATGCACATTGTAGAAGTATTCATGCACACATGCTTGGAATTACATAAACCGATGCAACAATGTAGCAAGAAGCAAACTGAGCACATTGTTTCCCAGAGGAGCCGCCTTCCTGACAGCACCACTGGGGAGAAACACCTTCTTAGAAGTGGAGGGAATAAAATGTGCAACACTGGGGTAAACTATTTAATGCTCGCTGTAGTAATATGCACATAATTCAGCGGATTTTGTGTGTATTGCTAAATCCTGAGATTGTTCATAGCTCCCCCGTCTCTTGGTTCTCTTGGTTTTCGGACATTAAAGCTCTATATTATTTATAGTTTTTCTTAAGCGTGTTATTTTTGGCTTTTTTGTGTTTATGAGGTTTTTGTTGTCTGTACCTTTTTTTTAGTTCTTGTTGATACCTTTTGTGTTGCCATTGTGTTTCTTCAATTTTGTCTCCATTTTTTGTCTTTTTGTGTCAAGTTGGTCTTGTTTTTCTGTTCTATTTGGTTGTTGTTGGGTTTTACTTCCTTTGTCTTGTTTTCTATATTCGTTTTAGCTCTCCTCCCACCTTTCACCTCTCCCCTTGTTATCTGACATATGCACACCAATCAGGCATGGTGTGCATATGTCATTATTATTAGGGAGGTGCTGTGACCACCTCCCTAATATTGTGCTGGTCCCCCTTTTGCTGCCAAAATAGCCTGACCCATTAAGGCATGGACTACACTAGACCCCTGAAGATGTGTTGTGTATCTGGCACCAAGATGCTGGCAACAGATCCTTTGAGTCCTGTAAGTTATGTGGCGGGGCTTGATCAAACTTGTTTGTCCAGTACATCCCACAGATGCATGATTGGATTGAGCCTGGGAAAAGTTTGAGGCCAAGTCAACACCTGAAACTCATTTTTTTGCTCCTCAAACCATTTCTGAAGCACTTTTCCTTTGTGGCAGGGCACATCATCCTGCTGAAAGAGGCCATAGCTTTTAGGGCAGGGGTGGGCCATTCCAGGCCTCGAGGTCCGGCGTCCTGCAGGTTTTAGATCTCACCCTGGGTCTACACACCTGAATCAAATGATTAGTTCATTACCAGGCCTCTGGAGAACTGCAAGACATGTTGAGGAGGTAATTTAGCCATTTGAATCAGCTGTGTTGGATCAAGGACACATCTAAAACCTGCAGGACACCGGCCCTCGAGGCCTGGAGTTGCCCACTCCTGCTTTAGGGAATACCGTTCCCATGAAAGGATGTGGATCGCCTGCAACAATGATTAAGTAGGTGGTAGGTGTCAAAGTAACATTCATATTCAACATAAATGGCAGTAGCCAAAGTTTCCCAGCAGAACAATCCCCAAAGCAGCACACTGCCTCGGTTGGCTTGCCTTCCTCTTATAGTGCATTTTAGTAGCAGGTAAGTACCCGACCAGCCACATGATGTGAAAGAAAACATGATTCTTCAGACAAGGCAATCTTTTCCATTGCTCCATGGTCCAGTTCTGATCCTCACATGTCCATTGTTGGTGCTTTTGGCAGCTGACGGGGGTCAGCCTGCCTGCAGCTATGCAGTCTCATCCAATACATTGTGTATTCTGACACCTTCCTATCAGAACCAGCATTAACTTTTCCAACAATCTGAGCAACGGTAACTCGTCCGTTAGATCGGACCACACAGGCCAGCCTTTGCTCCCCACATGCATCAGAGAGCCTTGGTTGCCCATGACCCTGTCTCTGGTTCCTCACTGCTTCTAAGACATGAACTCTGAGGGCAAAACATTCACATGCTTCCTAATATAACCCACCTGTTAACAAGAGCCATGATAAAGAGACATTTTTGTTATTGTTTTAGTGGTCACAATGTTATGCCTGATCTGTGTATATATTATCCTATTGTCCTTTGTCATGTCATCCCTCTTTGCGGTTTGTTTCCTTGCCCTGTGTGTTATGATTTTTGTACATTTTGGATTCCCTGCTCTGTGAATATTTTGGATTGCCTGTGAGTGATCAGCATTAAAGCTGGATTTTGAGTTTATTATCTGTCTGCCAAGTTCTGCATTTGGGTCCACGATCTGCCTTCCATGCAGCAAATCCTTAAGAGTCACTTTAACTCACTTTTTAGTTGACGGGTTTCTGAGGAGACCCGTCAACTCTTTCTGTCAAAAGAGAGCGGAAAGTTTTAAAAATGTTAAATTTTTGGCATGACAAACAAATTGAGCAAACACAGAGAAGCAAAGATTTCAGTGACAAATTAATTTAAACCACATTTCTCAAAGACATCAGTCAAAAAAGAAAAATTACCACCTATGTTCAGTAGTTTAGGCGTACTAGTTGAAAGGATTTTGGATTATTCCATAAAGTTTAATGTTTGTAGGTGTTATGGTTTGTGTGTTTAACAGTGTCTGTCCTACTTGGACCTCAAATAAAATTGACACATTTGTACGAGCATCTCGGGGCATCTCACATGGCCCCAAATGCCTTCAACAGCTAATTAACAGCTGACACAACCATTTGATGCAAGTTATTCCCCAGCTTACATTCTCCTTCTTCCTTTTTTATCACATTCTTTTACTATTTACAGCATTAAAAAGAAAATAACCTTAAAAAAAAAGAAAATAAAGAAAAACTTTTCTTTTAATTCTTTAAGCCCATCAGTTCGTTCCAGTAAATGCAGACTGTCACTCCTGGGAAAGCAGGTGGCTGAGTGGAGTGCTATTTTAGTCATTACTTCAGAGCTACTTTAGAATTATTCATTCTGAAGCGGTTTCCTTCATGCCCCCATGCTCTGTGAGGAGCTTCTTCATATTCCCTAGAGCAGAGAATATCCTAGGATTGCCGCAAACAGGTATTTAACTCGCTGATCATTCGTTCATTCATTTCTTTTTTTCTGCCCACTTGATTTCCACTCTGGACCTCCAGGGGGGCTGCAGCGTCTGCAGTGCAGAGTGCACCTTATGTGGGAGGTGCATGTTACAATATGGCATATGGAGTATTATGATTCATCTTTGGTATTGGTGGTGGTGTCTTTTTTCCTGAGAT